AATCTAGATCATGGTCCAATTAGTCAAACTTTGGACTGAAATCTTGACAGTTTTTCATCCAATCTAATTAAAATAAATGTATTAAACATATAATCAAAAGAAATATACTTTCAAGATGTACAATGCAATTCTCGACAAGGGCTGCCATGCGAAAATCGAGAGAAGTCTCCGTCATAATCATGAACAACAGACCAATCCTTGACACGACGAGGACAACTAACTCCTTGTCAATATTAACCAAATATTATAATTAATCCATTATATAACAAAAAAACATATCCTCGATCTTTACACATGTATCACTACAATCCTCGACGAGAGCTGCCACACGAAAATCGAGCGAAGTCTCTGACATAATCATATGACATCAACGGACAGACCAATCCTTAACACGACTGCGACTATCTCCTTGCCGATTTTAATCAGTAGAGTTCCATACTTTTACAGGTCACTAAAAGAAGTCACAAAATTCAATATCTAACCCTACCAACACATGAATAATATAAAAAATAAAGTTACAATATATGTAGGAGTAAACATTATTGTGCTTAAATGAAACAAAAGAAACTATTAAAATTGCATTTTAATTTGATACAAACTTAATAGGATATGTAATGTTTTGGACAATATTAACTTATATTATGAGTATCGTGGACATTCCCATTCTCGTTTCGCATTAACACTTGGATAATATAAAAATAAATTATACTTTAAATTTGATAGAAAGGAAAAATTCGACATGTATCATTCCCATTTTTTTCCTATTTTTTTTAACCCGTAGCAACGCACGAGCATATTTGCTAGTTCTAAATAATATGTAGATCCTAAATAGGCAGGTAATATTTTTCTAGAAAAAATAGTTACTAGCTTCATTTTTTCTGATTAAAATAATTTATTTATGATTTGTAATAGTATAGTAAATCATATTTTCCTTATTTTGCAATACAGGAAACTAGAGAACTAAGTTTGTTCCGTTTTGAGAATTGGAGGATGTCTATTATCCTATTTTGTAATTTGAGATTGAAAATAGGTTATAGGTTTTGAAAAATAGTAATACTTATTTTTTTTTTTACTTGTCAAGGATGTAAGTACGGCACGCCTTCTCTTCTGCCGCTGCTGCCTACGGCCCTACCCAACGGCAACACCAGCAGTTAGTTCGTGGTGACTGACCACGTTCCGATCGATACTGTATCCGTTCTCTTCGAAGACGCGCACAAGAAACGCGCGCGACGATTTCCAGGTACTTGAGGCTACTTGTCGTGCACTTGCCATGTGAATCATGTGGCTTTTCTGCCGTACGTGTGGACTAGCTAGTGCTAATATTTTTCTCTCCAATATATAATGCTTTCTTAAACCGTTATTAATCGTCACAGCTGACAGTTTAAAGAATAGTCAAGTGCATATGCATTGGTCGTCGTAGTATAATAACTAACACAACAACGTGGCGGCAAGGCATATCATTACATTACTCCCTGGACGTACTTTCCTCTCAACCTCCTCCTTTTTCTTGCTTGCACAGCAAGGTGTACGTACGTACGTACGCTACGCACGTCGCTAGCTGCTGCCGTGGCCGTGCGTTTCCTTATCCAACGATATTTTTCTCTCACAACAAATCAGCCAACAATATTTTTTTAGTTATGGCTTATCAGCCAAACGAACATGAGCGCACAAGGCCATGCATGCGACGGAGGTCAAACCCTACGAATCTGCAATGCATGCAGTGATGCGATGTCTAGAAGGTCAAACTACGGGGGCGATTATTGAAGTAGTACAGCCACTTCTGGAAGGTCCGCGCGGTAAGTATATATATACACACACATATACACGTACTCTACATATGTACGCGCCTTGATGGCGACGCCGTACTGCAGCTGAACTGATTTTATTTTAATTAATTATTAAATTAATCTGGCCGGCTATTAGCTTGTGTCATCTGATCATGCGTCTTCTTGATAAAATATCTTTAACACTGGATCGCTCGTCGGTATTGCACTGGAAGCGCTAGCGCTACCTGTGCCTCAAGGCGTCAGCGAGTGGTCAACGTCAAGCCATTGGCTGTTTTTTCTTTGAAATCGAAACAAAAGACCAAGCCAGTGGCGGGTTCGATCTGGATGCATGGACAGATCTGATGTCATTGCATCTGTCACCACCCTCCAGCCGGGCAGTTCGGTGCAGCGCACAGTGAACATGGCTTTCTTCTTGAATAAACCGTCTTTTTCAGGTGTCTTATTTGAACAACGATCTTTGTTTGCGCTTTGTCGTCCTCGTGTACCTGGCCCATGCACGACCTGTCCATAAACCGTCGGCAAAAGGCCCAACGAATAATATTTTTGTTCACACCAAATTAAACAACGGGACACTGAAAATGCAGTTTTACACTAGCACTCACCTGCGACTGCGAGGCATCATCATGCTTGCAGCATCGCATTCCATTTACCCTGCCTGACGTTGGAGAACCTGTGTGTGTTCAGTGGAGGCTAGCTAACGCGCTTACTTGTCGTCCTCGTGTACCTGGCCCATGCACGACCTGTCCATTTCAAGAGAAAACGCCGGCAAAAGGCCCTTACGCCAAAGCGGGCCATGGACACATCGGCCTCCACATTGGACTTGTTTGATGCGGTCTCTCAGGACACGGGATAAACTAGAGGCAACAGATCCGCAGACGGGACACTGCGAAAATGCAGTGCTTTACCGGAGCTAGCACTCACCTGCGACTGCGAGGCATCATCATGCTTAAAGATGTGCATGCAGCCCGTGGGCCAAAGGCCCGGCCCAAAGCACGGTTATTGGGCCTGACCCGAGCATGGCAGAAACCACCTAAAGCTGCGCACATACCAAACATTCAAACACGTTTGATACAGCATCACTGCAATTTCTCATGTTCGTCGCATCGCTGCTAGCAATCAAGGCACACTGATGTTACTGAAGAACTTTATAAATTTGGCAACATCTTTCAGTACAGAATTAGCTTGATTAACCTGAAGTTCGCAAATTTGCACAGCTGCGTCTTCCTTCCCTGTTTTTTCACGGCCGTGGAGGCCCGCTGAATTTATTGAGTGGTCGAGAGATTGAATCTCAATCCCGTGCTAATCCCCTTCATCTCACAGCTTAGATTTTTTCCTTTCTAGGGTTTTATCTCACGGGTGTGAGTTTTACCTAGAATGGTTTTTAATGATGCGCATTGCACAAAAAGCTCAAATCTTTTGTCATCCGTGTTTCGTGATTGTTAAATATGAATATGTGAACCCGTGATTGTCCTTTTAAATGGTGTTTTATGCGGTATTTGGCGTAATCGGCTGGTATATGGGTTAAGAAGTAATGCCGGGCCCCCACTTGAACTCGGCAGAACGGGTAGTACTTGGCGGGACACGGGGCAAACTCATGGGCATCGGGGCGATATTCCCCCGACGCGATGTGCGACCGCGGTTCGCCGTCCGACATAACATGGCGATGGTACGTCTGCGGTGGGGTGGAAAGGCGATACGCCCGCGCGATCGGCCAAAGGGCCCGAGCCCGATCGGGCCGCGGTGAAATGGGCGTGCCGGGAGAACCCATCAACCTGGCGTAACACTCTTGCCGGTACCTTGGGAAGAGCCTCGATGAAATCCATGGCTATGTCCGCCCAAACGAGCCGCACCGGCATGTTGCTCATCTTTAATCATGCTTGCAGCATCGCATTCCATTTACCCTGCCTGACGTTGGAGAACCTGTGTGTGTTCAGTGGAGGCTGCGCTAGCTAACATGTTTTCCATCTTTCCTGATTCCTTCCTTCCCACTTGTGAAACACATTTTTAATTTGTCGGAGTCTTTTTCCTTCCTCGTTTTAGTGGAAGTTTTTTGTTTGCATGTAACTGCATAACCATTTGCTGACACTCACGGGTGCTTTATATGCACTTTCTCATAGAAAAATAGATGGAGGAAAGAGCTCACATAGTCACATGTGTGACAAGAGCTTCGCAACAATAGAAAATTGCCATACTCGTTAACACAATGTACAGAAGAGCCTAGCTGACGCCCGACACGGCGTCACTGAATCACCAACACATGGTTGCATGCACCTTTAAACATGTATAAAAGTGTCACAAAAATTTGTGAATGTATAGTAACTAGCATGCAAAATTTGAGCTGAAAACGATACTTGTGCAAGGAGAAGGCTCCCCAAAAAAAAAATAAAATAAAAAAATCAGCATGTAAAGACCATGACTATTCACATCGCGTCCCAAAGCAGAACATCATAACTCAGTGAGTGCAATTTTCAAACATAAAATAGCATCCATTCCCATTGCCAGTTCAGTATACTTGGGCCTGGTAGTTTTTCCATTATATCTGTACTCCATACATCAGTAATACTACTACAGTAATGTAATATTGTGTAGCAGTAGCACCCAATGAACAATACATGTCGGGAATACATGAATTAACTTTCTAATTAGATTATCCATTCCAGTATTTTAGTCCAGGCTGGTCTGTAAAACCAACTAGGAACACAACTCTTCTCAGTGCACAGCCAGCCATTAGAGATTCAGAGAAACAGCCAAAATAATCAGAAAACAGCATGGTGCCAAGAAACCACCTAAAGCTGCGCACATACCAAACATTCAAACACGTTTTGATACAGCATCACTGCAATTTCTCATGTTCGTCGCATCGCTGCTAGCAATCAAGGCACACTGATGTTACTGAAGAACTTTATAAATTTGGCAACAGTAACAGCAGCCAGTAACCCAAGTAGCAACTTTACTGCCGTTCAGTACAGAATTAGCTTGGATTAACCTGAAGTTCGCAAATTTGCACAGCAGAGATGAATTCCATGTAATCTAAAAGGTTATGTATCCTCTGATCCAGCTATCCCGAGACTATAAAACAACTGGGTTCAATCTTCACATACAAGAATGACTGTATGTATTACTTTCAAAAAAAAGAATGACTGTATGTATACAGTCATGTTTGTGGTGATCAAGAAGCGTACAAAGAAACAGCCAAGCAGGACATAGTGCAGTTCAGCTAGCAAGCTTGAAGGCGTCAATAAACAGGCCATATGTGAAACCCATCTTGAAGTTGTTGAGGAGAGCAATAGGGAAGGTAACCTCAGGCCGGCTGTAATAGAACTTTGTCACATACTCAGTCAGCAGGACACAAACAACTGCCGCTAGAACATCATTCACACCCAATGCACCGAAAGAGAGTGAGATTGTCTGTGCAACGTAAAAGCCGCCAAGCAGCGAGATGCCACCAAAAAGAGCTCGCCGCGACCGGCTTCTAAAATAGTCCCTTGAGAGTTCTGGAATGATTCGGATTATGTCAACCAGCCTTCGACGCCCATCATTTCCCTGCAGTGCACGGATTCTGAGATACTTGTAAGAGGATTTCCGTGTGAAGTTCCCATAGCTCTGTGAGGGAAACCTTGTCTCTGCATATAGCCCATAGCTAGGAAGACCAGCGGCGATAGAATTTGAAACACCTGACATCGAGATATTTGCGCTGCATAGACAGAAATATTTTCTCTATCAAACTAGCAGCCATAAGAAATGACATTGTCATTGTGCATATATAGTAAAATAAAAAAAATCCAGAATACAAGTAAAAAAGGAAATAAATTATGCAGAGTACAAAAAAGATGGTATGCACAAGTAATAATAGGACTATAATGAATTAATGACTGGCCGTATTACCAGCAGCATATTCAGAGAAAAAACCTCGACCAGCTGGGGGCATGATCGTCCACCTAGGCAATGCTTTTAAGATAAAAGAACCCAATCTTGCTGGCTGAGAAAATCCCTGAACCCCATCTTTGCCGATGAGAGGATTATTTTAACCAGACTAGATTCGCTACCACAGGGAGTTGAACCTAGGATCCGGAGGTGCTACTAAACCTTTGTAACCACTAGGCTACAAGCCCTTTCACACATATACAGAGAAGAAAGGTACAAATGCTATTTTAGGCTGTCTATTGCTCCAATGATTTAGATATGCAGTGCACTTGATGGTACTACTAGATATCACTCTATTAAGCCATCTCTAATAGTTGAAAATGCTTGCACTAAAGGGGTGTATGCATTAGGTAGCTGGAAATTCCTAAATTCTAGCGCACAACAAGAATAATTAAAAACAACATATTGTTAGTCAACAGAAGTATATAGTGGTTCACATCATGCAATTATACGCATAATGTACTTATTTATCCTTTAGTTTCTCTTTATAGTGCAGTACTTTAGTCAGTCAACACAAGCTTACTCTGACTACACACCATCATGATTCACAAAGATCTGGAAGACAATAACAGGAATGCACCATCTAAGGTAGAAAACAGAACAAGCTTTAAGGATTTACAAAAAGTGACCTTGAAGGCCAAATCTCCAGCTTCTGACCATACCACTAAGTAATATAAATATATAATCAAAGAAAAATGTAGGAAATAAGGAAGAATATCATTGAGTTGCCAAAACTTTGCCTCAGTTCCTCTAAATACCACAACATTTTCCAATTTAATTTCGAACAATACCATTTCCATCACTTTGGGACTAAAGGGTTAAAGTTGGACAAAATTCACACACCAAATACCCTTATTGTCTTCAAATTATTAGGTGCTTCAGAGTTTGAGCAAGCACGTTAACTTTGAGAAACCTCATAGTTTCATCCATATAAGCAAAATGATTCCACAAGGGAAAAATTAAAGGCAGAATTCAAGTGGGACATGGGAGCAGATCCAGAAAATATGCACAGCTATGCACAATCTATGGATGTAAGCACACAAGTTTTCCTGTTATCAATAACATAGTCACTGTACCAACTGTAACAGTTCAATATTTCGTAAGTTCGAAATTATGCCAATTGCAATAGAGCGTTCAAGTCAATCCATCAAACACTCTTACATGACTGAAACATTACATAGTACCTAAAGAAATTTAGAGTGCCAGACAAATGAATTTTTCTCATACTTTGGAAGTCCTTAAAACTACATATTTCATACAAATGAATGAATGATTCAGCTTGTCTAGTCCAATAGTCTAATTCAAAATGTTCAGATTCCTAATCAGTTAATTGCCAAATTTAAAGGCACATCAAGGAAAGGAAGAGGGGAGGAATACCCAGACGCCCTCTGCTGCTCTGCCGCAGACCTTTTTCTCTTGCCGACCGCGGTCCGTCCCTGCCCGTTGCTGGATCTGGCCGGTGAGAGCTGGCGCCAAGGGGCAGGGACCAAAAATTGGAGTTTGCTAATTCATCACTCAGATCAAGATTACGAGTTTATACGACCAGTGAAGCAGCGAATTAATTCACCAATAGGCAATAGCTTTGCATGGCCATCAAAGGAGAAATCAGAGGGAGAGAAAAGGAGATGCGGCGGAGGAAAGGGATGAGGGCGGTGTGGTGTGTGCTGTTGCTAGCAGGTGGACCATGAAGACGGACTCTCCAACTCCATGTTCCTCTGCAGATGGGCCCAGGCCCACTTGCAGAAACAGAATTGCTTTACAAAATTATTATTTACCGAAATGCCCTGCCCTTCACTAGGGTTTAGGCCGTTATGCCCCACCTCCGGCGCCCCAAAACCTCCATGGCCGGTGCTTCAATTCCCGCCGCCTCCTTCTCCTCCTCCTCCCTCCTTTCCAACACCACCTCCGTAGCCCTTCATCGGACCGCCTCCACCCCATGATTAGCCGCCGCGCGGCGGCCACGGCAGCCCTACGCGCCTCTCTGCGGCGTGCCTGCTCTTCCTCCTCCCACGCCGCCGACCCCGACGACCAACTGCTTGGTCTCGTGGAAGCCCCCGAGCCGCAGCGCGGATCCCGTCTCTCATCCAAGGACTTCGCCTTTCTTCAGGAGCCCACCGCTGCCCTCCACGCCGCGGCCCTCCCGCCGCCGGAGGCCGTCCTTATATCCAAGGCGATCCGAGCCTACGCCGCCGACTTCGACGGCAAGGCGGAGCGGTTCCTGCGTCGGCACCGGGACTTCCTGAACGACGCTGTGGTTGTGGCGGTGCTCCGGTCGGTGCGCACCCCGGAGCTCTGTGTCAGGTTCTTCCTCTGGGCCGAGCGGCAGGTGGGGTACAGCCACACCGGCGCCTGCTACAACGCGCTGGCGGAGGTATTGCATTTTGATGACCGTGCTAGGACCACCGAGAGGCTGCTGAGGGAGATTGGGGAGGATGACCGTGAGGTGCTCGGCAGATTGCTCAATGTGATTGTACGGAAAGGCTGCCGCCATGGAGCGTGGGACAAGGCGCTGGAGGAGCTCGGGAGACTCAAGGATTTTGGGTACAGGCCGTCAGGTGCGACCTACAATGCTCTGGTCCAGGTGCTTGCAACCGCGGGGCAGATGGACATGGGTTTTCGTGTGCAGAAGGAGATGTCAGAGTCGGGGTTCTGCATGGATAAGTTCACAGTTGGGTGCTTTGCACAGGCGCTGTGTAAGGAGGGGCGATGGTCTGACGCACTTGTCATGATAGAGAGGGAGGATTTCAAACTTGACACGGTGTTGTGCACCCAGATGATCAGTGGACTGATGGAGGCCTCCCTTTTTAATGAGGCCATTTCATTCCTTCATAGGATGCGATGCAACTCATGCATCCCCAATGTGGTCACATATAGAACACTTCTCACTGGATTTTTGAAAAAGAAACAGCTTGGCTGGTGCAAGAGGATAATCAACATGATGATGAAGGAGGGTTGCAATCCAAACCCCTCCTTGTTTAATTCTCTTGTGCATAGTTATTGCAATGCCAGGGATTATCCATATGCGTATAAACTTTTAAAGAGGATGGCTGATTGTGGTTGCCCTCCTGGCTATGTCATATACAACATTTTTATTGGAAGCATATGTGGTGGAGAAGAACTGCCAAGCCCTGATTTGTTGGCTTTGGCGGAAAAAGTTTATGAGGAGATGCTGGCTTCTAGTTGCGTTCTTAATAAGGTGAACACTGCAAATTTTGCTCGATGCCTTTGTGGTATGGGGAAATTTGATATGGCATTTCAGATCATTAAGGTGATGATGAGAAAAGGTTTTATACCCGACACGAGCACATACTCTAAGGTGATTACCTTTTTATGTGAGGCTATGAAAGTAGAAAAGGCTTTCCTTTTGTTCCAAGAGATGAAGAGTGTCGGTGTTAATCCTGATGTTTATACATACACAATTTTGATTGATAGCTTTTGTAAGGCTGGTCTTATTGAACAGGCGCGGAGCTGGTTTGACGAAATGAGGAGTATTGGCTGCTCCCCAAATGTAGTAACATACACTGCATTGCTTCATGCTTACCTGAAAGCAAAGCAGCTACCTCAGGCTAGTGACATTTTTAACAGAATGATTGATGCTGGCTGTCCTCCCAATACCATTACCTACAGCGCACTAGTTGATGGCCTCTGTAAGGCAGGTGAAAGCCAAAAGGCTTGTGAAGTCTACACCAAATTGATAGGAACTTCTGACAATGTAGGATCTGATTTTTACTTTGAAGGTGAGCACACAGACTCCATTGCTCCAAATGTTGTCACATATGGTGCACTCATAGATGGTCTGTGTAAGGCACACAAGGTGGTTGATGCTCAAGAATTGCTAGATGCTATGTTATCGAATGGGTGTGAGCCAAATCACATTATATATGATGCCTTGATTGATGGCTTTTGCAAAGTTGGAAAGATTGACAATGCTCAGGAGGTATTTTTGAGGATGTCTAAGTGTGGCTACTTGCCTACGGTGCATACATACACCTCCTTAATTGATGCGATGTTTAAGGACAGAAGGCTTGATCTAGCCATGAAAGTTCTCTCTCAAATGGTGGAGAGTTCTTGCACTCCTAATGTCGTCACTTACACAGCTATGATTGATGGACTATGCAAAATAGGTGAATGTCAAAAGGCCTTAAAGCTGCTGTCAATGATGGAAAAGAAGGGTTGCAACCCAAATGTTGTGACGTACACTTCTCTAATAGATGGATTGGGAAAATCTGGTAAAGTTGATTTGAGTCTTCAGCTTTTTACACAAATGAGCACACAAGGGTGTGCCCCTAATTATGTTACCTACAGAGTTCTGATAAACCATTGCTGTGCTGCTGGTCTTTTGGATGAGGCACATTCACTGCTAAGTGAAATGAAGCAGACTTACTGGCCAAAACATTTGCAAGGATACTGCAGTGTAGTTCAAGGTTTTAGCAAGAAGTTCATTGCTTCTCTTGGATTGTTGGAGGAGCTGGAATCACATGGCACGGTGCCAATAGGTCCTGTTTATGGGTTGCTCATTGATAATTTCTCCAAGGCTGGCAGACTGGAGAAAGCCTTGGAGTTACACAAAGAGATGATGGAAGTCTCATCATCACTAAACATAACCAGCAAGGATACATACACTTCATTGATCCAGGCACTTTGTTTGGCATCTCAGCTTGAAAAGGCATTTGAAGTATACAGTGAAATAACAAGGAAAGGTGTTGTGCCAGAATTAAGTGTCTTTATTTGCCTCATAAAGGGGCTAATCAAAGCAAATAAGTGGAATGAAGCCCTGCAGTTGTGTTACAGCATATGTGATGAGGTCAGTCCACTTGTCACATAACTGCTCCAACTAAATATATCTCCTTATTTAGGCAAATATCACATTAACCCCCCTGAACATTTTTATTGTCGTCTATTTGTTGATTTTGGCCCCCAGACTGTCTGGTTCTGTCTAATCACACCTTCCAGTAGGTCTCATAACGGCAAGTTTACATGGCTGTCAAGCTTTTGCCAAGTAGGATGCCAAGCATGCACCAACCAAACATTCATTCAATATGCCTTTATCATATTCAACCAAACAATTATTGATAAGTTTTGGTTTGAAACCTTGCTTTGCATGATGGTGCCTCACACTAGCAAATTATACTTGATTCATTTATTAATATGACCTGCTTAAATAGCTTTCCATAAGTGTGGTAGTGGCATGCCTGATGATGCAGCATATTTCGGCACAACTGTATTAGTTCTAGTGCAGTAGTGTTCATCTCATCTTTTCCATGCTGTATCTCCATTTCTCCAACCTAAATAGTAAAAGTGTAATTTTGAGCAGGTTGCGCAATTTGGCATTGATTGCCTCATCACACTTCTAGCTGCACTAAGTTGTGCCCTAATCTTTCGTTTTAATTTTCATGCTGCTGTATCATACTCTCTCTGGAGAATTACTAATATCGGGTATTGGACCAGGGTGTGAACTGGCAGAGCAACAACTCTTTTGATGGAGGGTAGAGCTTTGTTTTCTTACATGGTTACTCCAAATGAAAGCATTGTCCCCTAAGAGCTTATTTTTATTGGGGTGATTTGGTTCAAATCAAATTAAACTTATTTGAATGATTTCCTGTTCCAAACATCCCTCTAGGGAGTCATTCATTTCTGACATCTTACTGGAAGATTACAGTATGATGTGGTGACCCAGGAGATAAGGATTAGAATGTGCTTTTGTGCAACTCATTGATGGCTTGGGAAGACAGCACTATGGGATGATTAAAACTGTATATGTTCATATATGACCTTTCTGGGTGCTGAAGGATAAAGTGAAGACCTTCAAAAGGCTATATGCAGTCAAGCTGCACTCATGTAAGCATAGCTCTAGTTCATAATGGTAGACAATCTATTATGCTGTTAGCTGATTATCATCATATTTGTGCTCTTATACAATATGGATTATCAAATTATCTCCTTCAGTGCTGCACACCATTTTACATTGTCAGTGAGTGATGACCAAAGTAATTTCTGAGCCTTCAGTTTCCCTTTTCTATATTTAGGACTAGCTGGTTTACCTTCAGATGGACAAAGGATCATCTCAATGTCTATCAAGAATAACCTCTGTATATGAGTAATGAGTTACTGATGGTTAGACACAAGGGTGAAATATGTGGTGAAAGAAAACTTCCTAAAGTTCATAATTCTCTGTTCATCAGTTCAGTGATTCATCCTTCTAGCTCCTTCCAGTATTTTTGCTCTCATAATAGAGCAATAAAGATACGATGTAATCACAGAAATGTACTACAGTTCACTGTACAAATGTAATAATTACTTCAAGTTATAAACTGTTAATATCTAGTGATATTCTATCAGAGCAAAACATTTCATCCATTGTTGTTGGATCATCAAATTTTGACCTTGTTTTACTTTGCAAGTGTTAATTAATTGAGTACTTATTGATTCACAGTGTGTTTCAGATCTCTAGCTTTTGTTCCTATTTCTTTATTCCATTTATGTGGAGATAATACCCTCGCGGTGGTTTTGTCAAGCCCTTAATTAGCTTTGGAACTACAGTTCTTTCCATGTTACTATTTTAGTTAAACATATTCTGAATTGGATATTTGGATTGCTTTGGTGTTGTATCAATATGCCTGGTGTAGAGGTTAACTGGTGACTGGTGAGTAATCGTGCTCTATGCCAGGAAGCATCACTTCGAAGGCCCAGACCAGATTACCATCGGTCAAATGCCAAGGTCTTGTATTTGTTTGCTCACATATGCTACATGCATTTGAATATACCATATTTACTAGATGCTGCCACAGTGCTTCACACAACTACACACGCATAGAGAACTTCATCGTTTTATGCTGCACTGATATTTGAAAGTGTTGCATCCTTGCATGGCTTGTATTTAATACTGGGCCAAATGAGTTTTCTGGTTCGTCACCATCTATTATATTATGTATTATGATGAAAGCATAGGGAAATGATTCCTTGTGCTTTTCCAGAAAGAAAACATTACTTTTGTGTAGAACATATTAACCTTTTGCTTTAAATTTGCAGCGGTGACTGAAAAGATACTACGGAATGCATGACTCTGCATTGCATTTTGTAGCCAGGGTACTGCCCTTTGATTGATTTGGTAAGTGATGTCAGCTACTACTTATTAAGGAATGCATGGCTCTTCATTGCTTTGTGTGGCCAGGGTACTGGCCTTTGATTGAATTCGTAAATGATGTCAGTAGTAGTGCTTTTACATTCCTTGTTTATGAGCCTCCATATCCCGCAGTCTTCTGATACCTGTGCTTTTTTTTTTTTGGAGTCTTGAGATTTTCAATGAGCATCGTCTATTTTGCTGATGTCATGACACCGAATGGTTCTTTTATAGAGGAGAAAAAGAAAACAGACCCAGGTATGCTGCTCCATGCCACAGAGATGCACTCTGGTAAGCTGTTTTGTAATAACAGATAACTGAGCGCTGCATTGCAAAGATTCGCAGTTCTTTCGTCTAGATCTGAGGGTTCTGAAGCAGACAGCAAAGGTCACAGGGTTGGCTGGAAAACAGTTAAAAAAAAGTTGGTCATGAGGCAGATGTGTTGATTTATTGATTGTGAATCTGAGATCTCAAGAACTAGATTATTGCTCAATTTGTGAAATCTTTTTCTTTTTCTGAGACATAGTCCCATGAGTTACCTTTGGAGTTTGGACACGTAAAAAATTTGTGCGCTTTGTGGGTACTTCTTTTAATGACGTTGAAATTTGCAAGTGATGACTAATCTTTGTTGGCCCCAATGCTGAGTATCAGACTGCTTGTTATTGTTTTAATGACGAATCATGGACAAATTGCCGGGCACTTTTGTTCAGTGCATCTATGCTATTCTGCCTCCTAAACCTGAACATGAGGCCCGCGTTTAAGTGTACACTAAGGTTTTGCTTTAATAAGAACACTTTGGCATCATCGTTTTATTAAGATTGCATGATTGTTGCCGTCTTGTTAAAATCACTAAGGCTTTGTTTTAATAAGAATACTTTGGCGTCATCGTTTTATTAAAAACGCGTGATTGTTGCCTTTTGATAAAATCGTGCAAATGTTAGCGTTGTTAATTTGGTGTTCGGTTGATGGTTTCTGCGGTTGATAAGTCAGCTGATGCTGTTTTGCTGTGAGAGAAAAATACTGTATCGTGACTCAAGCGAACAGGGCGTTAAGGAGAGGGTAACGAGACAGATTGTGCCATCAACCGCCGATCAGGTGGTGGCATCCAATATTTTCGCTTTGCCGAGCCAGCCAATCCTGTTTGCGGAATGGAAAAAGGCACCGGGTTTATCTCTTGCCAGCCACTGTGCCAATAATTCCGTCCAAGGGTACAATACATCAGGCCCATTTCATTTTCGAACCGAAAGAAACCAAAAAAGAAACCCTCGTAGCCAACCAAGCTATCATCTCTCGGTCCTGCCTGCGGTTCCATTTTTCTTCTTCTCAAGAACAATAACATAGGTTGGAGCCCTGGATTGGCTGTGGGCGGATGACTCCTCCGCTCCGGGAACCTTTCCATTCCATGGCACGCGCCGTCTTCTTCTGGGATTTGGATTTGGGGGTACCGAGGCGCGAGAGCGAGACGTGCCCTCCCAAAAGAGGTGCCCGTCTCCGGCGACGGCGACCCGTGAGGACCCCTGTTGCTGCAAGTCCCATCCGTCACGCGACGAATGGGATGCTCCCACGTGAACGGGCACTTGCCTCACTTGTTCTCCGGTCAAGATTATCATGCCAGCGACAGTTCGGCCCCGTCGATTCGCCCAATCTGACGATTCACTTCCTCCACGTAACAGGGCTCTGTGCCTTTCCTGCCCTAGTGCCCTGGATCTCTCTCTCTTCTCCGAAAGGCAGAAGAAGCCCCCAATGCATGGTACAGTATCAACCTTCGTTTGATCAGATGAGATCTTTCAGCCACGCTCCCAAAGCGAGCTTCTTCAGCTTAGAGGCCTTTCAGCCACACTCCGAAAGAGAGCTTCTTCCTGTATTCTGCAAGTGCAAGTGGGAACACAACATCAGAAGGGAGGCGGTTTTGACATGGTGCAAGTCACAGGAATAAAATGGGATTCCATGGACCCCCTACTAATTATGCAAGAACAAATGTACTAAGCCTTATCTATCTCCCCCCGCTTTCCGCCCCCTATTTTATCTCAAGCCCATCAAGTCCGCAGACATATTCTTTCTATGACAGAAAGATTAGGGCATTTGTATTTCACAAATCATATTCTACGAGAAAGACGGAAGGATAGCCCGAACAGAGATGCCAAAGAGCCAATGCGCCTCTGGGAGTGTTATTAGATCAGAATTCAGAAACTACACTAAGCGCTGACCCTCAAGAGGTCATATTCCGTCAGACAAACTAGGAGGGATGTACGGAGTACGATGAACTTGCGTACAAAACTTACTAGCACCATATGCTGTCATAACTTCTACGTCACAATTGGCATTACCAAACTCTTGAGGGGCTGCCGCATAGGAGCATCAGAGACGGTCCAAGGGAATCTTCCCGTGTGTCGTGGGGGTCCAGTCAGGACAGTTGCCCACTCTAGAGATAGTACATTATGACAGTAATAAAAGGTATATTGTCCATATTGTTCGGATGACTATATATAAATTATAATTGACACAAAAGAGGGATTAAGCAGCTCTATTTATTACATGGTATTGCCAGGTTCATCCATCATGCATACAGATAAGCAAACTGCATTTGATTTCAAATTTTCTGACAACTAAAAACAGAGCTTCCATCTTTAAATCACATACAGATTTTCCCATAATTCATATGGCAGTAATAAAGGACAGAAACAGCTACAAAGTGATATGTTTAGATAGAAAGATTTGCACAGATATGAATACACATACCAGAATAGTAGTATAAGGACAAAAAACACAATATACCACCTTATCATCATTATCTAAACAGCAGTGCTATTTTATAATCTTCGGAGGATGAACAAGACTTGATTCTGAGTTCTAGATGTCGGCATGCACTGAAATAAGCCACACAGCTGTACCACTAATTTGCTTCCCAAGCATCTATCTTAGTAAAAGCAGTACCAAGTGAAGAAAGAAATTATTATTTTGGGAGGAGACAATGAACAAGTGTCAAGAAAATCTCTTACCACTTTTTATCGTTGAAGTCTAATATTCCCAGCAGATAATGTTTCACTTGAGGAACTTCTTCCAAGTTCCACCTTCCACCATTTGTAATGAGAAGGCAATCTTCATTACAGTAACACTAGAGTGGTGTCTTTACTTTGTACGCTCTAGTAAAATGATGGCCAGGAGTTCCTGCATTCACTGAAAGTGGAAGTGAGCACCTGCTGTGAGGAGGTTAAACAGCCTCCCCACCAGGTAAGTAGCCTTTTCCCAGGCATGTAAGTTCTAGCCTGTACAAATCAAAGACGTATTAGAAGACCAAGTACTAGGGAATTCAGGCTCACTTTCCCCATTTGCCTAGTAGAACTTTTATTAACGAAAGAGTGAGGGAATGTTCATGCTGCAAGGAAAGAAGATGAGGTGTCAACCTGATAGACAAGTCAAAAGGCAACCCACTTTTCACGAGGAGCATATCATGTCCAGGGTTACAGATATAGGGAATAAATGAGTGTAGTCATCAGATTTTATTCATCAATGTGGAATTACCATGGACACTCCTATTTTTTGTAAGCCCAGATAGTGGAAAGGCCTATATATGTCCAGTGATGATGACCAATATAAATATATGCATCTTAAAGTTGAGATTCTAAGGCATCTAGAGCACACGACTCCTGATATCATGAATGCCTTCAGCACTTCAGGTTGCAAGTATAAATAGGACACGTACCTGCACCCATCAGTGCACCCAAGTTCACATTTGAGGCCAAAACAGCTTCTTTGTTCTCTAGAGCGCAGGCCTGTAGAAAGACTCTAGAACGCAGCCTATTTTTTACTCACAACCTCCAAATTAGCATTCTTGACTAACCATGTCAAGGGATCCACTAGTAGTAGGACATGTAGTAGGTGACATTTTGGACCCATTTATTAAAACAGCCTCACTTAAGGTTCTGTATAACAACAAGGAACTGACCAATGGATCTGAGCTCAAGCCATCACAAGTAGCAAATGAACCAAGGGTTGAAATTTCTGGGCGCGAAATGAGGAACCTTTACACTCTGGTAAGTCCATAACTAGTTCATTACTACATTGAGCAGTATTAAGTTTAGTTAAAGTGAATATAAGGTATTAGGGTCAATAAAAAAAATCATATGCGTAACTGCACAAGATCTCTTTTTATAAAACTAAGTACACGATCTCTTATTTGTAACACCTGCTTTTGGAGTTCATCACCTTTAGTTGTTTTCAGTGCCCACATAGCAATGAAAACAAAGAATCTCAACTTTCCATAAGTTGTACAACCTCTTCTTTATGGATTGAAAAGGACCTCTGCACTTCCATTTTATTTCATGTACCATCCATATGTTTGATAGCATCGGCACATGCTGCATCTTGTACATGGTGCTGACTGGAATCAAAGTTATGTCCTCAATAAGTACAGGAATTTTGAATAACTATAATTAGATGCAGAAATACATGTCACATGATATAAGTTTTCGCATTTTAGTAGTGTTATGACGGTTGACGAGGCTATCACAGTAGTACCATTAAATCAAGTCTGTAACAGAGAAACTTTATTTCATTCATCAGGGTTAACAGGTACCTTGAAAAAGAATGTCTAGATTGTGCTGGTTAAGCGAACAGTATCTTTGTAATCCTCTGAATAAAAGATAAGAAAGTGTGGTAACAATTTCAGAGAACAAATGTTAAGCACCTGCTATTGGATCAACAACAACAACAACAACAACAACATAGCCTTTCAGTCCCAAGCACCTGCTATTGGATAAGGGAACTATTATATTTTGTTGTGAGAAATATTTCCTCAAGATAACAAGCTAACTTGCTACTAGGTGATGGTGGATCCAGACTCCCCCAGTCCAAGTAACCCAACAAAAAGAGAATACCTTCATTGGTAAGACCTGGAACATTTCACAATTATTGGAAACTACTAATTCTACTACTTTGATGTGACAAATCTAAAATAAGAAGTACATGTCACAGGTTGGTGACAGACATCCCGGAATCAGCAAATGCTAGCTATGGTGGGTTCTTCCATTCTGTCCTTCTCAATTAAATAGTACATAACTTCAATAGTTATATTAGATTCTAAAATAAATGCATATGGTGTTCATCAAGATGACATGTATATATACCTCCTTACTACACAACAAAAAATTGGCAAGTATATCATCTGCATTTTCTTAAAAAAAAATAAAAATGACAATATAAAGGTTACCACAGATTGTGCATACCTGGACAGTAAGCAGCTGCCTGTCATGTCTGCAGCATCTATCAGTGTCAGACAATTATTTGAATTACATTGCTAAAAGTTGTGCAATTCAAGGGTAACAAAAGTGGATTTAATTAGTTCAGCTGAACTTTTATTTTTAGCTCAACATGAGCATCACTGTAGTTTCCATATTTCAAAACCTAAATTTAACTCAACAGCTGTTCATCTCACAGTATTTCCACAGATGAGAATAATGTTCATACTAATTCACCGTGACATGGTTGAACAAATTTTATTACAGGAAATGAAATTGTCAGCTATGAAAACCCAAAGCCAACTGCTGGAATACATCGCTTTGTCTTTGTACTCTTCCGCCAGTCTGTCCAGCAAACCGTTTATGCACCAGGATGGAGACAAAATTTCAACACTAGAGACTTTTCTGCGCTCTATAATCTTGGGCCTCCTGTGGCTGCAGTGTTCTTCAATTGTCAAAGGGAGAATGGGTGTGGAGGCAGACGATATATTAGATAAATACCATCTCATTGACTGTGCACTGCAAAAAGGGATATTAATTAAATTTGAAAACAAAAATGCAAGGCCAGCCACTTCGCAAAGCGATGATAAATGCTGGGCCTTGAAATGTAGCTTCATTTGAAAATTAGTTTGCCACATCTGCAAGTGTGATGAGTTTAGCTTACAGTTTCACCATCTTGGACAACAGTCTATGTCTCAAATGAGGGAAACCTGATGTTGACACATATTAAGATTATAGTTCTCCCACGCTCTGGGTTTAGGAATAGCCAAATCCAGGCGCGCAGCGAAAAAAAGGCCAACAGCACAAATGGTCTGTGCTTTTACCAGTAATCCACCTTAGCGGCCTTTGTAGAAAAACCTCACCAGATAGCATTTATGGAACCTGCCACCTAGGGCGAGGTCTCTGGTTCAAGTCCAGGATGGCCCAGTTGTGCCAGGAAAAAGAATAGAAGAAGTATCTGACTCTTTCATGTATACTCCACTTGGCTGGGGGATATAGCTCAGTTGGTAGAGCTTCGCTCTTGCACAATTGGGTCGTTGCGATTACGGGTTGGCTGTCTAATTGTCCAGGCGGTAATGATAGTATCTTGTACCTGAACCGGTGGCTCACTTTTTCTAAGTAATGGGGAAGATGACTGAAACATGCCACTGAAAGACTCTACTGAGACAAAAAGATGGGCTGTCAAAAAGGTAAAGGTAGGATGGGCAGTTGGTCAGATCTAGTATGGATCGTACATGGACGATAGTTGGAGTCGGCGGCTCTCCTAGGCTTCCCTCATCTGGGATCCCTAGGGAAGAGGATCAAGTTGGCCCTTGCGAATAGCTTGATGCACTATCTCCCTTCAACCCTTTGAGCGAAATGTGGCAAAAGGAAGGAAAATCCATGGACCGACCCCATTGTCTCCACCCCGTAGGAACTACGAGATCACCACAAGGACGCCTTCGGCGTCCAGGGGTCACGGACCGACCATAGATCCTGTTCAATAAGTGGAACACATTAGCCGTCTGCTCTCCGGTTGGGCAGTAAGGGTCGGAAAAGGTCAATCACTCGTTCTTAAAACCAGCATTCTTAAGTTAAGATCAAAGAGTCAGGCGGAAAAATGGGAGAGCTCCCCGTTCCTGGTTCTCCTGTAGTTGGATTCCCCGGAACCACAAGAATCCTTAGAATGGGATTCCAACTCAGCACCTTTTGTTTTGGGATTTTGAGAAGAGTTGCTCTTTGGAGAGCACAAGACGATGAAAGTTGTAAGTCGTGTTCTGGGGTTATTGCCTATCGTTGTCCTCTATGGTAGAACCCGTCGGGGAGGCCTGAAAGGCGATGGTTTACCCTATGGTGGATGTCAGCGGTTCGAGTCTGCTTATCTCTAGCCCGTGAACTTAGCGGATACTATGATAGCACCGAAGGTTGCCAATTCATCAGTTCGATCTATGATTTCGCATTCATGGACGTTGATAAGATCCTTCCATTTAGTAGCACCTTAGGATGGCATAGCCTTAACGTTAATGGCGAGGTTCAAAAGAGGAAAGGCTTGTGGTGGATACCTAGGCACCCATAGACGAGGAAGGGCGTAGCAAGCGACGAAATGCTTCGGGGAGTTGAAAATAAGCATAGATCCGAAGATTCCCAAATAGGTCAACCTTTTGAATTGCCTGCTAAATCCATGAGAAGGCAAGAGACAACCCGTCAAACTGAAACATCTTAGTAGCCAGAGGAAAAGGAAGCAAAAGCGATTCCCGTAGTAGCGGCGAGCGAAATGGGAGCAGCCTAAACCGTGAAAACGGGGTTGTGGGAGAGCAATACAAGCTTTGTGCTGCTAGGCGAAGAAGTTGAGTGCCGCACCCTAGATGGCTAAAGTCTAGTAGCCGAAAGCATCACTAGCTTACGCTCTGACCCAAGTAGCATGGGGCACGTGGAATCCCGTGTGAATCAGCAAGGATCACCTTGCAAGGCTAAATACTCCTGGGTGACCGATAGCGAAGTAGTACTGTGAGGGAAAGGTGAAAAGAACCCCCAATGGGTAGTGAAATAGAACATGAAACCGTGCTGAGCTCCCAAGCAGTGGGAGGGGAAAGTGATCTCTGACCGCGTGCCCGTTGAAGAATGAGCCGACGACTCATAGGCAGTGGCTTGGTTAAGGGAATGGAACCCACCAGAGCCGTAGCAAAAGCGAGTCTTCATAGGGCGATTGTCACTGCTTATGGACCCGAACCTGGGTGATCTATCCATGACTAGGATGAAGCTTGGATGAAACTAAGTAGAGGTTCGAACTGACTGATGCTAAAGAATCAGTGGATGAGTTGTGGTTAGGGGTGAAATGCCACTCGAACCCAGAGCTAGCTGGTTGCGTTGAGGCGCAGCAGTTGACTAGACATCTAGGGGTAAAGCACTATTTCGGTGCGAACTGCGCGATCGGTACCAAATCGAGGCAAACTCAGAATACTAGATATGACCCAAAAATAACAAGGGTCAAGGTCGGCCAGTGAGATGATGGGGGATAAGCTTCATCGTCGAGAGGGAAACAACCCGGATCACCAGCTAAGTGTAGCAGAACCGTCCAATTTATAAGAGCGCAAGTACAATGGCAGCCCGCAAGCGGTCACATTATCATACTTGAGCTCATATAAACCCGGTAGTCCGTCGAGTACCACGAAGGGTCTCGATTAACCATCAACATACAGCCAAGATCATACATGATTCTATAGATATGTCACATGTTACATCAGTTCACAAATACAACATCATACATCAGAGTACGATTAAGAGTTATTACAAACCATGTTCGAATAAAATAGTCGCGGAAGCAATTAAGTTTGAAAACCAACACCTCACATCATTGTTCCAATACAGTGCCAGTCCATGATCACAACCACAAAAGCATGATAGAGGGAATTAATGAGAGACGCCTTATCCAGGGCCCTACTCCTCGTCCACGGCAGGACAGAAGTAGTTCTTACAGTAGCTGTGATAGACTGTACCATCTGCAACAAGTGGGAAATAAACCCTGAGTACGAGAAGGTACTCAACTAGACTTACCCGTCATAAACCAAAAAGAAAGTGACTCCATGGATCATGTAAGGCTTTATAAGTGGAGCTAGCTTGACAATATTTTGCATGAAAAGCTACTAATTCAGTTATACATTTATAATTCGATCATCAAGTTAATTATAGTTATTCATCTCTAGATTAGCAACTAACCTGTATCAAACATGTGGTATATCATTTAGTTGCATACAGTAGTAACCATAGCCAGTGTAAAAGTTCCAAGTTCACCATAACCATCATTCCATAATCCAGTTACTACGATGTTGGAGCTAGCCAAGTTTCTCACTGTCCAGGAGAGACGGCGATTCAAATCAATTTCAACCAGCTGGGAATTTATTCCTAACACAAACCCAGATAGACCAGATCAATGGTCACCTTTGGTACAACTCAGGTACACATTTCGCGGGTTCATTCCGCGCCGCACAACCAGGGACAACCAGCTGCCAAGATGATCAGGACTACCCTGCCCTTGGGCTCACATCTAGCTCCCCGCACATCCTTACTACCATCCAGAGTGCGCACTCTAACAGAACGGGGCCCGGCCTGAGTTGAGCTACTCGACTTCATGGTCGGAGTGAGTTATCCGGCCAGCTAAGTGAGAGACATGCGTTCAATCTCAACAGAAGTTTCAACAATGGTACGGTCCTTAATCGGCACAGACGGAATCACATGAGCTAACATACGCATAGACTCCGTCCGACCTCCAGTTATATTACCCCATGGTTCTTTTCCATGATAGCAAATATAGCCAATCGTGCTCCGGTATCCACCTATATCTCGTAGGTGACAGAAAATCACCCGACTTCTACCGGTCTAAGCATGGCTAAGCATATATTCGATCCTGTACCTACATAGGGTTAAAGGTATATTTATCTGGACAAGGTAGTTCTATGCATCAAGTGTTTCCAATTCAACTCTTATAACCTAATGCATCAAACATAAAAGGACTCAAGTGATATTTTGTAAAACATGGGAGGCTTAAAATGCTTCGGTCTTGCCTTTGAGAAAAGAAGTTGGCTGATGATCCGGGCACTCGGGTAGGTCCTCAAGAGCTCGTTCCTCGCCTTCTGGAGCTACGGGCTGAGGTGCCTCCTGATGTTCCTCTTCTTCTTCATTGAATTCCAATAGAGTGATCCCCTCGGACGATCCTATATGCATAAACATAAAATAAGTTATCTTGAATGCATATATACTGACATGCATGATATGATATGGTGTGATGAAATGCATCCTCATAAGTGTTCTCAATAGCATTGCATTAAGGTGATAACAAGATAAATTTTCTTTTACTGAGTAGGTGTATATCTCTTCTCTAGTAATTAAACAAATTCTCATCTAAGTAATTTTCTGGACTGTAAGACAACAGTCACTTGTTTTGACCATAACTGGAGTTATACACATCTAAATAATATGGTTGTGGACTTTATGAAAATCTTATGAAATTTCCTACAACTTTATTTTAATCATCTTAAGGTGATTCAGTAGTTATCTAGGCCAAACAATTCCATCTTTTAGATCTATCCAGAGAATAAGTATTTCTAACAGCAGACTTCTAACAGCTATAATTCTCAAACCATAAGGCCTATGACTATGAAAATTTAACACAAGGTAGATAAGTAAGTTATCTACAACTTTGTTATTAACAAGTTTCACATAAAAGATCATTATCATCATGAATTTACCACCATAACAGAAATTATACATACAACCATCTAGTTGAATTATAAAGCAATAATTAACTAGCTGCCTATAACCAATTACTTCTAAGCCTAACTAATAGCACCAACATATCATATGCATCATAAGCATCATAGAAAACATCATGGTTATGCCTAACTCATTTATTTATATTCATTTACCAATTTCCTTATATAATAAGGTGATTTAAAGGATAAATATTTCTAGTGCTCAATAAATTCTGAGAAAATTGCAGTAGCGTATAAATGACCCTAAT